ACATGCAAACTCCATGCAGAAGGATCCCAGGCCGGGAAGCGAACCCAGGACCTTCTTGCTGCAAGGCAACAGCTCTAACCACTGCGCCACTGCACAGCTATTGCCAACCCATGTGTATTTAAAAATATATGGCACTGCTACATCGTTACTATTAGAAATTAGTAACATTTCTACTTGAAGTAGGATTTTTAAACACAAAGTCTTTAGAAATGTTTTCCTCCACTTTAAATGTCATCAGTTAGAATATCTGATTAATCATCTGAGGATTCAACAGAATGCTTGAATGTTAAAATATTCAGTAGTTGTAGTGAAATCAAACGGGGTCTTCAACCTGCAAGTCTGACTTTAGCCACATCTGGTGCCACGAGAGCGCAATAGCGACACCTTACGATCGATACACGAACAGGTGAGATGTCAGGTGTATTCTCCATTATCCAAACACCCAAATCCTATCATCCTCTGTGGCTGAGCTCGATTGCAGTAAGGTCTGGAAGAGTCCTTTTTAAAACCCGATGGGTTGCTTGCACCCATCCAACCATAAGCAGCTAGAAGTAGAGGTCAGCCAGCACAGCTACCTACGAGTTCCCTGGTTCTTCCCATTGGCCATGTTTGCACGTTATTTATGTATTTTTTGAGTTTGGTAATACCATACCTAAAGTCACATTTGGAATCTGTGATACACTCTCTCATAACTTCACTTCTTGACTACGTAAACTCACTTTTGGTAGGGATTCCTGTCTCGGCCATGATCCGGCTGCAGGTTGTGGAAAACGCAGCTGCACGGTTCCTGACAAATCCTGGCAGACATAGTCATGTGATCCCGGTTTAGGCGCGCCTACGCTGGTTACCCCTTTAGGGTAAATTTTAAGGTCTTGCTCTTTGCCTATGAAGCTCTACATGGCCTTACACCCTCTCATCTGTCTGACCTCTGACCTCCTCACACTTTAAGTGCCTGGGCACTCGTTACAGTCGGCATACCCTTTTTTGCTTCGCACCCTGAAAACGAACTATAAAGCTAGGCGAGAGCGAGCCTTTGTGTACGCCGCTCCCACACTTTGGAATGCACCACTCACTGGTCGACCTTCTGTCTGCCTCTTCAAGTCACGAGGGTGTGACTCTCGTCTAGTCCCTACATTTGTTATCTTTTCATGCTTGACTGCTGTTTTATCTGTTTTATGTCTTTTGTGTAGTTTTTATTGCGATGTATGAATCTTTGTATTTTGTTTAGTGTCTTGAAGTGGGCGGCACTTTGGTCATCTCCCATGCTGTGTTTAAACACACCACAGAAATGAAATGATATGGCATGGCATAAGATTGAGCCTTTTGTACGACACATACTTTACGTTAATAAATGGCTTAGAACACCACATCTAGTCATAATTGTACACTTGACTTTTTCTTTTACAGAAACACTATGGGGTGCCCGTGGGCTCCTCTACTACCGGGCTTAGCAGGATTTCTGGGGGAAACCCTGTCAGGTTTACTGATAACTGGTTGTACGAAAATGAAAAGATTAGCATGGTTGTGCTGTTAGGCCTGTGTCATTTGCATAGGTTTTCTGAAAAAGTGAAACACCGACAGAAATTAGATTGATTGTCATTGGTAACGCCTTGAAGAAAAGAATAAAAAGGTTCTGCAAAACTCCAAGCTTCATTTTCACCAACTTCTGATTGTTGCGTGACAGTTGCTAGGCAACAGAACATATGCTGAGGTAAGGTAGAGAATACATCTGAAGGTTAGACCATTTCAAAGCTGCTCACTTCTGGTCTGGATTGGGTAAGCCTGGTCCTTCATGCTACCGTGGAGTTTACGCACTAAGGCGGTTTGGCTTTAAAGTTGCAGATGGTGTACAAAACTATAAACAAGAGAAGATAACAATAGCTCCTTAGCTTCAAATTTACTAGTTGTCCCCATCTTGGTGGCTGTATGTTGAGGTGAACGAGCTGCCTAAACCCTTACAGTCACAAACTATGAAGTGAATTGGTTCTTTTACACGAGGAATCAAGAACTGTTTATGTGATATTTTTGTATTTTTTTTTCCATTTTTCATCCTCTGATTGTGCTCTGGGCGATTTTATGACCAAATAAATAAATAAAAATCCATGTAAATCTGGGACAGCCGTAGTTCAGGAGGTAGAGCGGGTTGTCCAGTAATCAGAAGGTTGCAGGTTTGATTCCAGCTCCTGCCAGAGAATGCTGTTGATGTGTCCTTGGGCAAGACACTTAACCCGCCTTGCCTGCTGGTGGTGGTCGGAGGGACCAGCAGCACCAGTGCTCGGTAGCCTCACCTCTGTCAGTGCGACCCAGAGCAGCTGTAGCTACCGGTAGCTCATCACCACCAGTGTGTGAACGGGTGAATGACTGATTGTGTTGTGAAGGGCCTTGGGGGGTTGTAGAACCCTAAGAAGGCACAATAGAATTTTTTTTAAATTGTCTAGATCTCAGTTTCAGCCCAAATAAACATGATTATGATTTTTGCCATAATCGAGCAGCCCTAGCTGGTCTGGGCCTCTGCTCAGGCTGCTGCCCCCGTGACCCTCCCACGATAAGCAAATCAAAATGATCTCAACATGGTCAGCATACAACAAGAAGACACAGGAGCCACACAAGAGAGGATGAGGGAGTGTGAAAAGCTTCTAGTAGAAATGACCTCATCCAGTCTGAGGATGCTGGGACGAGTTACCCAGGCTATAATCTGATCATCTCAGACTATGTGAGGCTGCAGCTGCTGTGCATTGTTTCCAGAGATGGGGGCTATGTACTGCATGTGCTAATGAGTCTCCAGAACCAGCATTTTACATATAGCTGGCAGTCACAAGATCTCTGCTCCTGCTTAGGGACAGTTTACTCATCAGCTGTTCTCTCCTACTGGGAGAAAATCTTGGAGCTCTTCCAGAACCTCCTGTCCTGGTGGAGAACATGCCTCCGTCTGAAGGATGCTAAGCCCAACATCTACTGGTTCATTTCATTAGTTCATTAATCTTATGTCAAAAAGTGTGTTGTTTTGTGGAACCGTGGGTATGATGATGCGTTCAGCTCACCAGCCTTGGACAAGGTGGACAGCACCAAACCTGCTGCATGGTGTGACCCTAGAAGGTCATGCTTATCTTTCAGAAGAGAGTAAGTAGGGTAGTCACGATACTAAAATTTCAAACTCGATTCGATACTTGAAAAAAAACTCGATACTCGATTTCGATACTATTTAAAAACACCAATTTATTGAACACGTTTATTCAAAAAATAACATTCCTCAATTTATATTGCAAAAATTAAATGTTAAGAATTAAGTGTATAAAGTGCTTAAACCTTTCAAGTATCAGCATTTTTTAAAACGTGCATACAAAAACTGGCGAAAGTTAACACTTTAAATCATGAATTGTCTCACTATATATACACTATTTGCAGAGTGATGTTTTGCTGCTTAAACTCTGTTTAAGGTGCATTTTTGTCATAAGCTGTAATGCCATATGTTTTGTTCTGTACTTTTGAACAACTCTGTTGGTCAATAAAGGGAGAAAACGAATTTCTCCACAGTAGGACAAAGGTACATCTACCGGTAATCTTAATAAGAACAGATTGGCGCACGGCAGTGACGTCATTAAAAGCGCCGGTTAATTAGCCGCAGCTAGTCTGTTCACGCCTAGAAATCCCAGACCTGCTCCAAACGAACAGGGGAATCACGTTAATGATTCCTAACAAAACCTTTCGACATTGAGATGTTTTGGTGCAGATAATGTCTTATTTCGAGGCTGCACCATGGGTGCCCGTCCGCACCCGTTATATGGATATACACTGATGGCGATTCGCCGATGGATCTAAATACCCCGGGGAATCCAAGTAGCACCAAAGTTGTCAGCGTGAGTAAACAAACGTACTGCACGCTAGAAATTAAGTCCGGGTTGCAATAAACGGGAGTTTCCTTTAAGCACATAAGCGTGAATATACAACTACGTGTCGGACTTGGTATGCTAATTAAGTTGGGCTGTGAAGCGCCTCCCAAATTCGCTGTTTATGTTTTTGTTTATTTATTTGGCAGACAAAACTTGGATCGGAGACAACTCGCGTGGGAAATTGCAATGTAGCCGTGCGGCGTCTTCTTCTTCTGTTTGTCTGGGAGGCGGAGGCTGCTTTACGGCATCTGGCTGTCGTGTGTGTCGGTGTACTTGAAGAAGGCTGTGTATAATAGTCCATAATATCGATACCACAGGGATGGAATATCTCATTTAGATACCACTTTTAGTGTCGATTTATACCTAGGTATCGATTTTTTTGACAACACTAGAAGAGATAAGAGGATGTCCTGACTGTTTTCCTTTATAGTTTAACAAACACACACTTTTCTTAGTAGACAGTTTTCCTACATGATGTTGGTCTAAGCTCTGAAGCTCTGGAGTTGCCCATCAACCCCTGGGTGGAGCTCCTCCAGCTGACCTGTGGTGACCTCTCTGTGAAGGAGTATAGATAGAAATGGTCTACTAGAGGAAATCTGGAGCTTCGGTGTTGCTGATGACATTTTCTCCTCTAGAAGACCACATACTGAGACCAACACCTCCCTGTTCCTGATCATCTCCAGAACCTTGGGTCTCAGTCTGGTTTTGGAAACAGAACCAAACAAAAGGATCAGCCCTGCTGCCATTTAAGAGGATTTGATGAGGGGAACCCCACACAAAGGCTGGAAAACCTCCTCCCTCATCAGGAGAAACTAGGTCTCCAGAACATCCCACCGAACCCAAACCTGGGTCCGGGCTCTGACCCAGTGAACAGCCTTGTTATGTTGTGGCTCACGCTGCCAACTTTATGATTGATACACATTGTGCGTCGCGTTTAATCGTCCCGCCCCTAAAAGGCGCTTTGGCCCGCTCGTCGGTACCGACAGAACCGAACGGCAGACGGTTTTTCATACCGTAAACAGCGCGGTGTCAGCGGGATGAGGATGGAGATGTGGGCCGCTGGTGAACAGAACATGATGGGCTCCATCAGCACCAACAGAGACGTCCTACCTGGCATAGGAGGAGCTGTCGGTGGATCATCTCCGGGGCTCTCAGGTCCCACCGAGCTCCATCCGAACGGTAAAAAGCCCAGAAGAAACCCGCACAAACAGCGTCGATTTCGGGGTGGTTCAGTCACATCCTCTCGTCTTTCTCTGGACCACCGTCAAGCTGCTCACCGGAACAAGCTGTTTCCGGTCAAACCATCAAAATCAGCAGCAATGAACCGCGAGCGGCAGCGTTTCCGGGCCAGGTTCGGATTCGGTTAGACCCAACATGTGTAAATAAATCATAGTAAGCACATAAGCAAGCGAGCTGCTGGACAGGTCCCGGTACCGGGAGGAGGAAACGGCCGATTACTTTGAAGGTCTCGTTTCCGGTTCTGTTGTCGCTCATCCTCAGTGATATGGGTACCAAACACTTACAGCCAATCAGAACACGGGGTTTCCGCCTCGCTTGCGCTGCTGCATCCTCTCATCTGCCCTGCCTCCTCCTGCAAACGCGCGCGCGCACGCACGCACACACACACACACACACACACACACACACACACACTCCTGCAGACGACAAGAGGTGGTGCACATGCGTTGTGGTCGATCAGCCAATCAGGTAGTGGTCCTGCTCTCAGCAGATTACTGCTGCTCTAGCTCCTCCCCCTTCATCACTGGACCACTCAGCCATTGCTTTCATGTATTTCTGTTCCTTTCATGTATTTCTGTATTTTTGGTAACGTTGCTTTTCTTTTTTACTTTTATTCAATAATTTATGTTATTTTATAATTTATTTTTTCCTGTTTTTTAATCTGAGATCACCTTCCCCCCCCCCCCCATACTTTCTAGACTTCTTTGCCTTTTCTTGTATCTTGTATTTAAAATCTTTTATACATCTTATGGAGATTTGTTACACCTTTTTATTATGTCGTTTTTATTTGTACCAAATGCAATCACAATAAAGGGTTTCAATTCAATCTTTTTAAATCATTAAATCATTTTATGGTGCTTGTGATTTTTATCTAGAGATGCACTGTATAAACATCCTTTCTTTTCTTTATCAGTAGATGTGTGTGTGTGTGTGTGTGTGTGTGTGTGTGTGTGTGTGTTTTCACATGACCGTTCTCTTTGCTCGATGTATTACTAAAATACATTCAATGTTCCAAAATCCCAGTCATTAAAAGTTCATTCAGATTCTTCTCCAAACTCGGAGCAGCAGCAACATACCGGGTGACTGACCCACACACAGCAGTTGAACTAGATATGTTTAAACCAGATCACGTATAACTAGAGACCCTGAACCCGCACCTCTCTCTCACTCTAAAGGTCAGATGTCACCATGTGGTTTCACTTATTTGCCAGCGAGATCTTTTAGTGTTTAAGGATAAAATCATTTGTCCAGAACAAGAACAATCACAGCTTTGAGATTAGATTTTTACTTTAATTTCTGCTCAACATAAATTAGATCCAAGCTCAAAAGACTGGTTTATGTAGCTACCAAAACGAGTCTCCATGAGAGAAAGCAGGAGCAAAACTGAGAATCAGTAAAACCCAAGAACCCTTGCTGCGGTACACTCAGAACCGTGTGGTTCTGGAGGAGCTCTGCTCAGGTCCAACCTGAACAGCAGCAAGGCGATCGTTTCTTACCCAACTGTTTTGATCTAGTTCAGCTGGTGTGTTTGAGTTCAGTGACCCAGTTTATTCCTAACATCTGCCAGACAGATGTTCTCACATTATTAATGATCAAGAGTTCATGTAAGGAGCCCAAACCATCAGCCCTCCACCACCATGCTTCTGCTTTTATAAAAGAAACTTGACTCTTTGTGATGAGGTAATATGTAGGATCAGCAGCTGGCTTCCCCCTTCTGCTCAGTTCTGTTAAATAACTCATGAATCTGTAAAATACTGCTGGTGAAGGTTCTCAGTCATCCAGGTCATGGTAGTCCAAAAGGTTTCAAATGAAGGAAACTGGATTACTTTGGTTTCTTAAAAACGTTTTGCTTCTCATCCGAGGAGCTTTGTCACTTCTAACTGGTATATGGCAGAGCCAAGTTTATAAGATGTAGCTGTCTATTGTTGGTAAATGAGCAGAAACTCACTCTGAATACCCCTCCTCTCTACCCCCTGATCAGTCGTTAGCCTCTATGGCAGTGGTACTTATTTTTCTGGCCCTTGACCACTACTATTTGAGTAGCCCTGCTCTATCATGTGGGAGTCGTGTTGATTAGATGTAGGAAGATGCGACCTAGACTGAAACTAAGATTCAAAGCTGCATTATAGGTGCTGGACATTTGACATAGATAGCTTCCTTTACCTCAAACCATCAATCTTCTCTGTTCAGAACGTGTACTTTGGATCTGTTTGGGTGTCTTGTTTATGGATGGGCCAGCTTCTGTCCGAGGGTTTAAGGTTACCGCAAGGTTGTTTTTGGAGAACCTCCTCAGATGAGAAGTGAAACTTCTTCAAAAAAACACAAAGAAGTCCAGCTGCCTTCATTTGAACCCTTTCAGATCTGTAAAATGTTTGTCGTGGTTGTAGAAATGAATTATGTGACCATTTAAAGTACATTACTGACTTGTAAAATCTCAGTATTGAAACTATGAAAATGATATTTCCCTAATAACTAATTCATTTACAGGAAAAATCAAAATGTTTGCCCAACCAGACTTTGAGTCCAAGTAAAACATGCAAAAGGCCACTTTGTCTGTAAAGGGGCTCTCAGGCATTGGAGTCACCTAACAAAGGGAATGATCTGAATATTAGTCTGGTGAAGGCCTCAGCTTCTCACCAGTCCGGTGTGCAGCGCTGACCTGCCCAGGATAGAAGTAGATGTGTAGCTTCAGGAGGCTTTACAGTTGGCTACAGGACAGATCTCTGACTGTTCCTCTGGTGACATCTGGTGGTCAGGAGCTGACACTGCAGATGCAGATTCGTCTGAATAGGTTTATGATACAACTTTTATTTCAGGATCTGGGATGGAATAGAGTGCAACATTAAATCCTTCAGAAAGTCGGACTTTTGCATCAGTCCATTAATAAAACAAATGATTAATAAATATAATATCCACAGTGGTACAAGAAACAGATAACTCCTAGGCCAGATGACAAGCACACCCCTCCTTAAAGAACCTTGGTGACCTGATAGGAAAGCAAACTTAAAGCCTGTGCTTTATGACTGGTAACAAATGTGGAGAAAATCTGATCAAAAGTGAATAAATTAAAATTATTAGCAGAGACTTCTTCCAGGTTCCACTGTAACACAGATCAGGCTCCACATGCCCAGGGTGAAGGGGCATAGTACTTGGTGATAACAGAAACTCCAGTCAGCTGCAGAAACACAGAACAGAGTTCTGTTCAGCAGCAGAGCCCCATGGGCTGGTGGAACGGTGGCCATGGCAGTCTCAGATCCCACTACAGTCTTTCTGCGTGGAGCTACATTCTCTTCAGTCATGTGTGGTACTCCAGTGTCCTCCCACAGACCAAAAACATGCATGTCAGGTTACCTGGAGACTAAACTAGGTGTAAGTGAGTAACTGTGTGTCCCTGTGGTGGACTGGAGACTTGTCCACGCTGCCCTCTACCTTGATGGCTGCTAGAGGTGAACACCAGCACCTTGTGACTCTATGGAAGCCTGATTCATACTCTCTCTTACACACACACACACACACACACACACACACACACACACACACACACACACACACACACACACACACACACACACACACACACACACACACACACACACACACACTACCAGGGACATTTTCCTTTCAGACTTCTCCGTTGCCTGGGAGCGTTACAAAGCAGTTTCCCAGGACAACAGAGGGCACCCCGGGCATCCTGCAGTCACATCTCTGGTCCTTGATAATGTAGTTACTGGTATTTACGAGACTTTTTAACATGGACAAATTTCTCCCCCACCTCCATACCCACGTTTCCCAACATTTTTTGCATTGTTGCACCACGGCGTTGCTTCTCTCTGTACCCATGCAGATGGAGGAGCATGAATCAGGCTTGAGGGTAAAGAGGTTAAAGCTGCAACAGCAAATTGGGAAAACAATTTAGCCTAAAACATAGTATAGTATAGTATAGTATAGTATAGTATAGTATAGTATAGCTAATTATTATTGAGATTAAAAAAAGGAAGACAATTAATGAAGTGGATCTCTTGCATTTGTCTAAAAACTTCCATCAATGACACGTTTCAGACCAAAAGCAACCACTGGACCATCCGGTTGTCGTCTCAGTGAACCGCTGCACTTCCCTGGGTCCTCCACTCTTCACACACTCACGCATTTACCAGCAGAACAGCACAGGTGGGAGAGGTTCTCCGCTCAACCATATCAGAGAAGGAGAAACAGCCGGCTGCTACCACTCCAGCTTTAGGACAAACTACCAGAGTCCCAAAAAGAAAAACGCCGTTAGAAGTCACGGGCAACAAAAGATGCTTGGACCTAGAAAATGGTGACTGGTGTTTAGCACCATTTAGTTTCCTCTGGCATCATGGGTTTTTGGTTCTGGCAGAAGCGTCTCAGTGAAAACACCTGAGGGCAGCTGTGAGTGTTCGATGACCGTGTTTGCATTCAAAACCTAGCTTGTTCTGTAGATTCGCTACAGCAGCATCAAGGCAATGAGTGTGGAAGAGGAGAGCCCCCTAGAGGTCAGTGGATGTAACTGGATATCAGAAAATGTGAAAGTCATCTGGACTTGGACTTGGGGTTAAGGAGAGAACACTTCTTGCTGTCTTTGGCCTCTTCTCCCTGCAGGGTTTTTAGCCTGGCCTGCCAGACTCGTCTCGCTTTAATTCTGCACAGAGAAAGAGTCTGGTAACTCACAGGCAGAGAGGTACCTGAGAGGCGGGACTAGGGAACTTCAAAAATAACCAATCAGAAAAACGACGTAAATGCCAACTGTACCACGCAATGCTGTAGTTTTTTAGCTGTAGTCAAAAATAGCGTCTGGCAACAGCGCAAACATCTTTTTTTAGAAGAAATGCTTTAGCGCTTCTACTTGTGGTTTTAAAGACATCTGAGTCATTTAGACCAGAGGAAACAGCCGCAGCGAACTCTGCCGCTGTCTTTGTTGTTTATGAGAAACTGAACATCGCTGTGTGTGACATCCGTGACGCTGTTGTATTTTAGCTGTAGTCAAAAATGGCGTCTGGCAACAGCGCAAACATCTCTCTTTAGAAGAAAGGCTTTTAGAGCTTCTACTTGTGGTTGTAAAGGCGTGTCCCAGTCATTTAGAACAGAGGAAAGAGCCACAGTAAACTCCGCTTAAGACGCCATGTTTATGACAAACTCGGTGTTATGCTGTGTGATGTACGCTACTCAGCGCTGATTGGCTCGATTAGAATTCTGGGGGGGGGGTATTTGAATAGAAGAGTTCCCAGACCCTTTCTCTGTGCAGAATTAAACAGGGGAGGAGTCTGGCAGGACAGGCTACATGGTTTTACCACCAACTTCTCCATTGTTTCATTTTCCCTTTGCTGACTTCTCTGTAATAAAGGCTGTAGAGTAGCTGGTCGCAAATGTATTTAGCCACACAGCCCCTTCTACGCCCCGACCGTGTTGGCGCACCCCCCATCCCCCACACCTTCAAAACAAAAATCTAAAAGTCACAAGCATTTTTGTTAGCACTGAAAGGCAGTTGAAATTTATGTATATTAAATGCAGCATGTTTTATCATGCTCAAATGAAAAACACATCTATTAAAATGAGCACAACCAAGCCCTCTCGCATTTGATTTCATCTGAAACCAGAGGTGTGACCAAGTCACTGCTTTGCAAGCCACAAGTCTTTCCAGTCAAGTCCAAGTCAAAGACAACCAAGTCCAAGTTGAGTCCCAAGTCAATGATGTGGAAGTCCAAGTGAAGTCCAAGTCCTTAACTTAGAATTTTCAAGTCATAAACAAGTAATCTGTCCATCTTCTATTTAATGACAATGATAATAAATAAATTCCAGGAATAAAGCTTCTTAAAGCTTTGTTTATTCGCTCAAACAAGCAGAAAGTACAACTGAAATAGATTATAAACAAAGTGCTGCTGCATTTGGCAGTAAATCAAACCAGAACCAAGAATGATTCATGAGTTTTGTCCATGCCATGCCACTTTTGTGCTAAAATATCAAATATGCTCAAGTCATCATCAAGTCAACAGAGGCAAGTCGATTCAAGTCGCAAGTCGCTGGCGTTCAAGTCCGAGTCAAGTCGCAAGTCTTTATAGATTTTATCAAGTCAAGTCAGAAGTCATTAAAATAATGACTTGAGTCTGACTCGAGTCCAAGTCATGTGACTCAAGTCCACACCTCTGTCTGAAACACTACCAAAGTAATGCGGAAGCTTTAAAGAGCAAAGATGATTGATGACAGGCTCAGGGTCAAAGGCAGGAAGCAGATACGTTCCGGAAAATTTTAGAATATTTTGAGCTGCGTTGAACAAATAATTGCAGCAAGTTTAAATGACCATGGAGCTAACACAACCTCATCATAACACATAAACAATGGAAACAATATTAGAACGCCAAAAATTTGAATTCAATAAAGTTACACAAAATTTAAAAACTAGCATGGCTCAGGAACTGATTAAATAAACAAAAATAAATCAGGATCCTGAGGATCCCCAAGTGCAGCGCCGATGGCTCAGCCTGCAGCAAGATAAAGAAAAAGGGAGAGGGAGGTTGTGAGTATTTCCTGTATATTTGTAGCAATAATACCATTTGGCCAAATATTTACCCGTAACGGCTGGGCCTGCATCGTGGCACAAAGCTCCCCAATGTTTGGTGCAACGAAGACAGTTCAAGCCTCAAATCTTTCTCAACAGCATCCAGTCTTTGCTGATGTTTAGTCTTAACAGCTGTCAGAGCAGAGAAACCAGCCCTGCATAGATAGGTTGTAGCATGGGGATGAAAACTGTCAAGGCCTGCTTTGCCAAGACTGTGTATGATGACGACATCAGCTCAGTCCAAAAATCCACAAGAGGCTTTCATTTGAACTGCGACTGCAACCATCAGATGACAGCTCGATCAGCTGTTTCTGCTCCTGAAATAACAGCTGTGAGACTGGGAGGGAAACTTTCAAAGGGTTACGGATCCATGCTTGAGATGTGTTGATAGGTGGGAAGTGTTTCCGCAGCAACTCAGCGAGTTGGACGAGGTGTTTAATAATGAGACTTTTCAAATGCTCACCCAGGTGCACGTCATTTTCCACCAAGAACTTATGAAGCATAGGAAACGCAGGAGTGTGTTCCCACTCACACAGCGCGCCCAGAACCGTAGATTCTTCATCATAGCTTCAACCTTCTCTTGTGGGCTGAACACAGTAACATTGACTCCCTGCAGACTTAGATTCAGTTCATTCAGAGCAAAAAAAAAAAAAGATGTCCGCCAGATAGGCAAGCGTCTTCAGAAAGTCTACGTCATGCAGACTGGCAGCCTTATCAGACAGATTGTCCTTGAAAACCTGCTGAAGCTCGTGTCGCAGTTCAAAAAGCCTCGTTAAGACTTCTCCGTGGGACAACCAGCGCACTTCAGTGTGCAGCAGCAATGCTTTGTGTTTGCCGCCCATCTCATTGCATAACAGCATGAACAGTCGTGAATTTAGCGGGCGAGCTTTAATGAAGTTCACCAGTTACACAGCATCATTCAGGACTGCAGGTAGATCAGCTGGCCTGTTTTTGGCTGCCGAGGCCTCCCTGTGAACACTAGTGCAACCACTGAATGGATGGTCATACTTTCCTGATATGAGCTTTAAGCCCCGTCAGTGCAAATGCCCACGCAGCAAGTCCAGTCGATCCCGTTGGTCCCCACAAACACTTCAGATTTTCCCACCTGTTGTTCGGGTAGTAAGGGGTTGGCAGAAGGTAGCCTTTAAGAAGGTAATGAACATACACCAGAAGATTGGCCAGATTTGTCACATCTGTAGACTTGTCTACTTTTAGAGAGTAAAACTCGCTTTCTGTCACCCGGCTGACTAATGAAGCCAGGACGTCCTCTGGCATTGCATCGATGCAGCGCGACACAGAGTTACTGGTGTGACGACCTCTGCCCTGGCAAGCCAAATGCAGCTGACGTACTCTCCTGGAGTCCTGAGAACCGCCACAAGAGGACAGCAGAGAGACTGATAGACAGCTGACTCCAATCACATCATCAACACCTGGATCCTATATTAAGCCTCCTATTTTCATCAGACAGGCAGACACAGTAACAGAGAGGTTAGAGCGTTAAAGCTTGTACTCTGTCATTTGAGCACTGTGATCTCCCCTCCTTGTTAAGCCATTGGGTTCTGTTAAACACCCTGTGTAAAGTAGCTCATTCCAGTCCTCATATTTTTGGTGGCCCCTTTAAATGGGGTTTTGTTGAGGTTTCTCCCTGGTTAACACCTATAAGAGCTTGTTAAGTTGGTTATGGTGGCTGGCAGTTTCTTTAGGTTAATTTCTGGTGTCTTGTTATAAAACTGTTGACCCCTTGTGTTAATAAACCCTTTTACTTTACCTTTGTTGGAAAACACTCCTCTCCCGACTCTCAGTTGCTTCTCCTCATTTACCTCAAAGTCTTCCTTAAGTTCAATTATTCTGTGTTCACCCCCTTACCTACTCCTAGACAGAAAGAGGGGATGTAACATAATGGGCGCTCGTCCGGGATCAATGTTCTGAACCTTTTTAGAGTGTTTTACCCTTCAAATGGACGATTATTAGTTTAGTGAGAGCCTTCGAGTATTTAAGGTTTTGTGGATACCTACCCCGTAGGTGGTAACGGGTGTTTTCAGTTGGCAAGTGGTAGTGGTTTTGGGTTCATTCATTTCTTTTCTTTTTTTTTTTGTGTGACGTGTGCCTTTGTATTAACCTTGTGATGTTTTCACTTAAAGGGTTTCTCGACGCACCTTCGCGGGAAGCGGTCGAGGGGTGCAGGAAACGTGACCTGCTGGAGGTGGCTGCACACCTTGGCCTGAGTGTCACACACGCAACGCTAAAGGAGGACTTGAAAAAGGCTGTGTTGTCTGCCTTAGTTGCTGAGAACCTACTGACGGATGAACACCAAGGTGAGGCCGAGAAGGACTCTGAGAAAATGAGCGAACCGGAACTGACGGAGGGGGAAGACATTAAGGATGAGGATATGTCAGCACTTCCTGTTGACAGACTGGAGGCCGCTGCTGCCGGTATGCAAACTCCTCCTGCTGGGGCATGGCCAAGGACTTTGCCCCGTTTTGATTCTCCCTCTCCAACTTCCTCAAAAGCTACGCCAGAAAGCGTCAGGCTGCAAGTACGTTTGGCTCAGCTAAAATATGCAGCCGAGAAGGAGCAAGTCCAGCTACGAAAGTTAGAATTGGAATTACGTCGTGTGGAAATCGAGTCGCAAACAGCGATTGCCCTGAAGAGAATGGAGTTGGAATGTTTGTCTCTACCCCAATGCAAAGGGCGGTCCCAGGCTTCAGACCAGTCCTCCCATCCAGAGATGCCAGGGACACCACTAGGTGCCACGGAGGAAGATCGAAAGCCGGACATCAGCAAATGCCTTGCGTTGGTGCCGCCATTTTCAGAGACCGAGGTGGACAGCTACTTCCAGCTATTTGAACGTCTTGCTGCGGCCCTCGGCTGGCCTCGTGAGGTGTGGTCGCTGATTCTACAATGCAGGCTCACAGGGAAGGCACGTAAGGTAATGTCGTCTCTTTCAGTTTCTGATAGTTCAGATTATGAGCGTGTTAAAGCGGCTGTGCTAAATGCTTATGAACTGGTGCCCGAAGCTTACCGACAGCGATTCAGAGCTATGTCCCACAAACGACATGAACAAACATTTGTGGAATTCGCCCGAGAAAAGGCTTTGCTTTTCGATAAATGGGTATCTGCCTCTAAGGTGTCCACTTTTAACGATTTAAAAGAGCTGTTCCTCCTAGAGGAATTTAAGAGATGTCTGCCCGAACGCACAGTGCTTTACTTAAACGAGCAGAAGGTAACTACTCTGTCCTCTGCGACATTACTAGCGGATGAATTCACATTAACCCACCGTGGGGGTGGAAATTACCCTGCTAGAGACATTAATCCTCGCTCTGTGGTGAGACCAGCTCCAGTGGTTTCTGTTTTTAGTCGTTCTAGCCCGCCAAGAAGGGTGAACCAACCTAAGTGTTTTTATTGTCATAAAACTATAATTATAATGTATAATTAAACTCTGACACCAGAAGCTCGGGGCAGTTTGCCTATGAACTTCTGCCCAGATTGCAATTTGATGGCTTGTCTGTTTACTGTCTCTTCTTTTCTCTTCGACTACAGGAAATGGGTTTATTGATAAATTCCCTAACATAATTTGGTCCTTCGGGAGCCGGGGTCCCGAGTTCACCTCGCAGCGCTAAGAGCCAACACCGGAGAACTTTCAACAACCTGAATCTCCTCCGGTGCTGAGCTTTTGCTGGGAGGTTGGTGTGAGGGTCTTGACATCGCTGGGAGACATGCAGATCCACAAACTCAAGACCTGAGCAGGGAGATCTGGTGAGACAAGTTTGTTTTGTCGTTTGTATTTGTGGTACCGAGAGAAAATCCTAGGTGACCAGAGATTAAATTGGTGTCATCTGCCGTGAATAGGATGGTTATGACAGGTTCTTTGAATGCTGTCTGTATTTGGCTTGGTTTTGTGCATTTTAGCCGAAATTAGAAATGCAACTCTGGTGTGATTAAGTAAGAAATAAAGTAGACCAGTATGATAACTATTGAGATTAAAGTGGTGTCGTCTGCCGTAAATAGGATGTTTTTGACGGATTTTCTGAATGCTGTCTGAGTTTTGTCACGTTGAGGGTGTGGATGACGGCGGACCATGTGTGGTGGAGCAGATCAGGAGGCAGGAATGCAGGCCCGGATGAAATAAAAGTAGTTTTAATGGGAGAGCGGGAATGACAGAACAAAACAACGCTGACAACAAACAATGATCCGACAAAGACTCAAACAAGATGGGAGGTATAAATACTCAGGGAAACAATCAGGAACACATGGGCGGATTAACATGGGGCAGGTGAGAACAATAAATGCTAATCAGGCAGGGGAGAGACACAGTCAGTGAGGCAGGGGCAGATTGTGACAAGTCTGGCTTGGTTTTTGAGCGTTTTAACCGGCGAAATAGAAACACAACTCTAGTTATCTGTTGTTGTTTGTTTTAAATGTTGTCTGCTTTAACTGTTGTTTGAATGAATGAGAGGGTGCCTGGACTTGCTTTATTCTTGTAGAAAGAAGGATATCGCAACTCATTTACACACAGTGTTCAGATTTTTAAACAAGTTGGCTGATAAGCCGTACATCGGCTCCCGCTGTGTCAGAACCAAGCCCCCACAATGCGGGACAGAAATTGAGGCCAATCCTGGAGTGAAATAAATTGCAGTTCCACCCTCATCCACTGGGGGCTGGTGCCAGAAGCGAGCAAATCCTCATTGGCTCCCATGTTAAAAATACCAATTTCACAGCAGAAATAAACATGTTTACAGCCTGGTACCAAAACATGTTTTTGGTTTAAATGATCTAGTTTACACTCATGACAACTCTGAGGGGGGTGAATTTTTTTCTCACTCTTCTGTTTAAGTGTATTAAAAGCCTAAAATTCTGTATAATTAATGAGCATCAGACCCATCAATATATTATTTTAAGTCTGAAATTGATATGGATGGATCAGAAGTTGATATGTGTGTTATTTTAAAACTATTTACAGAGCAGGCTCAGAATTGAGATTAAATATTTTTGATCATAATAGTAAAGAAACTATTACAGAACAAGTTTTTCAATAAAATCAGAACATTAATATTTAAGCGCATGGATTAATACATCTGAACTCATGCAGTAGGAACTAGGAAATATGAAATGCTAGAACCAGACACAACTTTGTGTATATTTTTTTATTTTAATTTGATTAAACTGATGTTTTTCTTAACGTTCTTGGCATTTTGCCACACAAAGTTAAACAAAACAATGTTGATTAAGGTGTGTTTGTGAGAGCGATAGAGAGGGAGAGAGAGGGAGTTAAAAAAAAATAAAAACCCGACCAGAGCGGAGGAAGTGAGTGACTGACGCGCACGTCAGCTCTGTCTTGTCAAATGCACCATGTAAGTTACGAAAAAAGTAACTTTAAATATTCAACCAAAAAAGAGGCGAGCTGAAGAAAACCTAGGGAAAACTGAAGAAACGTGAGCAACAGTGAAGCAATCACAGCGAGATCTGTTACGGACTGTGTGTGTGCGTGGATGAGCCCGACGGACTGCGCTCCCGGCCGGCTGCAGTTTTGTGTGTAGGGAGGGGCGGGCGCTCTATGTGACTGGCCAATCACAGAACGTGAAGACAGTCAGTTACCCAATGAGGATTTTCCTTCAGCACGATTACAGATATTTACGAGGTTTACTCGTTTCATGCTCGTATTCGTCAAAAATGCTTTATCCGTACCGGATACTCGTCTAAAACAAGTACCCAGCTCATCCCTAGTTTACACTCATGACAACCTAGGGAAAACTGACATGACAACTTTTAGGGGGGTGAATTTTTTTTCTGTTTAAGTGTATTAAAAGTCTAAAATTCTGTATAATTAATGAGCATCAGACCCACATGACCGCAGAGCTAGCTCCGGGGAAAGGCCTCAGTTTGAGCCTCGGCCTCACCTGAAAACTGTTCGGTCATTTTCAGTCTCTCAACTTAGACCATTAGTTGTAGAGTTTGTGCGTTCTTTTTTGGATATTTTTTGTGCAATTGTTGGAAAAAATGACTTTCTATGGCATTAATTGCACTACTAGAGCGTCCAAGGAGTCTCCACTTCATTTTTTTCAGTAAGTAAAATTATATTTATGTATTTTAGGTCACTGCCGAGCTGAGCTTAGATTTTAACATGTACTGTTTAACCATGAAATTTAAATGTAATAGGGTAAAATCCAGTGCATTTAACATAATGCTGCACTTTAGAAAATGGGTTGAAAATATAACATGTTGGTGGAGCTGGGTTCCGACTATCGGCTTGTGGAGCTCTCGGGAGACCTCTGTTTTCCACCCGTTCTCCCCTCCCCGCAGCTCGGCACATCTCTGTCTGATCACGGCTCCTGTCTGCTGTGCGGCTGCCGGCTTGTGGAGCTCTCGGGAGACCTCTGTGTTCCACCCGGTTTTACCCAGCGGTCAGCCTGGCGTATCTCTGACTCAGAAGCTCTGGTGTTGTGCACAGTTAACTCCGGTTGTAGCTAGGTTGCTACCTCGGTTAGCTTAGCTCCCACATCCGCATTAGCTTTGGGTTAGCTTCAGGTTAGCTTGTAGCTAGTTCGATCAGGTGTCGTCAGTTGATCCCAGCCTTACAGCCCCACCCTCAGCTCCACCTCTCTTCCCTTTTGTGGAATTGTCTGGGCTTGATGGAACCGACACGGTCAAAATGGAGGTGGTGGCCAACTCCCATTTTTCTTCAAAAATGTGTTATTGGAGCCTTAACAGGTTGTAAATTTTGAGGTCTGGTGTGAGAAAATAGATTAAGTGGGGGATCATATCACTTCACTTTTTCATACCAGCAGCTGCTGGAAAGACATTCTCACAGTGCGAAAAAAGCTGGAATTCCGTCTCCGGTGGAGGAGGAGGAGGAGCGGCGGTCGCATCATCAAACCACGCCTCCACCCCATCACTACCACCATTTCATTCCAGACGATCTAGAGCAGTGGTTCCCAAACTTATTTAGCCGCGCACCCCCTTCTATGTCCCGACCATGTCGAGGAACCGGAACCCCCCCCCCCCCCCCCCCCCCCCCGACCCAGCCCCCACATCGGGGCATGGCTCTCTCTCTCTCTCTCTCTCTCTCTCTCTCTCTCTCTTTATATATATATATATATATATATATATATATATATATATATATATATATATATATATATATATATACACACACACCGTAAATCCTCCAATACAGGCCGGTATTCAATTAAAGGCCGGGTCTCCAATTTTGGCCGGTGTCGGAGTCAGCGGAGGTAAATAATGGCCGGTCTCTTATTGTGGCCGGGTGGAATGTGGTAACAAGCAAGTATGAGCTCCCAGCGGCAGGGTTATAGTCCCCAAATCAACCAGCAGGAGGCAGTAGAGGTTCACGCAGACCCTTATTAGGCTTTTTCTTCAACGCTTTGTAACGCTACAGACACGATCCTCTATCACGCTCCTACCACACAGAGTCACGGTGTCAGTTAACCATGCTAATTCAACCTGCTCCACAGAACACACATCACCTTCCCTGTGGCTTACATAACACTCACACAACACGCAAATCAGCACATAGGAACTAGCAGAACGATAGGAAACACATATAACACAATACCCAGAATGCACCTGGCTTACAACCCCAGCCAGGTCATTACACTATCAAGTTCAAAGAGAACGTGCTGATTATGCTGCAGAACACTCTGGAGAGCAGCAGTAACTTCACTATAGTGACTTTTTATGCCTGTCGTCGACTAGTCACTGTCACGTGATAATGACCGGCAAGATGCAGCCCTCGGAAAAGACAGCAGCCTGCTGTCAGCAGGTGACAAGCTCCTGCGCTCGGGGGGGTGGGGGTGGGGGGCAACGCGCTGTGCCAGACCGTAGGTACTGACACGCGATCGATCATGTCGGTTCATTTCCTTTAATGTTTTCTGTCTTTTATTTGCGCCTGATGTGTATCGCTGCTGTGGAGCGGGGCGCTTCACCTTGTCCTCCGACGCACAGATCACTGATGCGGCCAGCAAGCAGGGAGCGCTCCGCTGTTTTTGCGGTCGGTAGATCTGCCTCCTGAGCACGGCCACAGTAACAATCAGGTGTCGCCACCTCAAAAACTAATTTAACAAGCGATCATTCATGTCAGTTCATTTCCTTTAATGTTTTCTGTCTTTTATTTGCGCCTGATGCGTTTCGCTGCATGCTGTGGAGCGGGGCGCTGCGCGCATCACCTTGTCCTCCGACGCACTGATCACTGATACGGCCGCCAAACAGCGAGCACTCCGCTGTTTTTGCGGTCGGTAGATCTTTTAGAACTGCAGTTCAAAGGTAACTTATGAGGTGAATATATATGAACTCAGGTAGCAGTTTTTCTTTAGGATTGAGAGGAGATGCAGGAAGATAATAAACAGACAGGACAGAAAAATAGTCAAATAAAAACAAGTTAGTTTTTGTACCTGCTGTTGCAACAAACAAACACCATTGAAGGTCATCAGAAGTGAGGAACAGAAAATGAAATAATTATTTTAATGTTTAGAGCAGCAGGAACTCCGAGAGGCTGCAGGTGCATCAGTGAGTTTGCGGCCGCTGCGCAGGGGGAGGGGGGAGAGGGCTGAAGCAGAAACTACCGTTGTTAAAAGAAATGTGTTTAACTTTGAAAATGTGGGCGCAATTTTATTTGTCAAAAACTCCAGCGAACCATTAGTTCATTTTGCTCAAATAGAAATAGAGGCCTGCCTCTAATACTGGCCCTCCTTCCAATAAAGGCCTGGAGCTTGATGAGCTTGAGTCAAATACAGGCCCGGGCCTGTATTAGAGGATTTACGATATATATATATTTATATATATATATATATATATATATATATATATATATATATATATATATATATATATATATATATATATATATATATATATATATATATCATAGACTGTACATATACTGGACAATTCGATTCCATAGACTTCAATAACACGTTATCTGTCCATAATGGGAGGTGTCCACCACCGCCATTTTGACCGTGTCACAGGTTCCGTCCAGCCCAGACAATTCCATAAAAGGGAAGAGAGGAGGCGCTAAGGGTGTGGCTGTAAGGCTGGGCTCGAGTGACGACACCCAGGCGAACTAGCTACGAGCTAACCTGAAGCTAACCCTGGCTAACCCAAAGCTAAAGCGGAGGTGGGAGCCGAGCTAACGGATGTAGCCACCTAGCTTCAACCCAACCGGAGCTAACTGGAACACCCATCGACCTGAACCTTACACGGAGTTTAGGTGGAGGTTTTCTGCGCCTGTTCGTGAGAAGTACCTGTATTAAAAAAGTTTTAAATCGGTAAGTTTATAATTTATTTCCGTAATGAAAACATTTTGCTTTGAGCAAGTTTTCAGTAGTTTTTTTTGGCGCTATCACTCCTGAGTCGCACCAGCCATTAAATGTATCATGAAGAAGAGAAAATATATTTAAGTCGTATTTTGGGGGGACATTTTATTATCTTTCTTACAAAATCTGAGACCAAGCGTTTCACATTGCAACACAAGCACCGGTAACCATAACAGAATTTACAGCCAGCAGAGGAGAGGATGGCGGTGTTTCAAACCCTCCCGGCCGGCGTGTAGAGCTCATTCCTGGGCTGGAGCCGGCCCTCAGCACCCCGCCACAGGCTCTAACAGATGCTGGCGGTGTTTCATATATTTCCAAAACGTAATACTTGTTTGTATCTTGTACAGCCAACTAGCCTTTATTCTGGACTCAGTACAATTTACCAAAAGTAAAGAGACATTATACAGATGAAGTAAGCACAAGATAACTCTGTGTCTTCCAGTAAGTTATCATCAGAACCAGAACAAGAGAGCCTGATAACAGTCATGTGAAAATAACAGTTAAAAAGTATGTATGTATAATAGAAATAAAAATATATTAGAATTAGTGTAACTCACTGTGATCCAAACAAATCAGCCATAGCTGATGAGTAAATATGACATGAGGTCTGGGAGTTTTTAAGTTTCATTCTTTTATTACATTTTTTTCTTAGATCTATTAAAAGGTCACCATGGCAGCCTGTGTGTCTCCAACGTCAGCTACACAACGCAGCGTGTAAGTTCCAAGTACTTGTCTTGACCACTTCATGAATGGTTTTGTACTTTAAACAGCTAGGCCAAACCTGTTATTTTTTCCTCCATAGCCATTTGGATCATTGAAGACAGCTGAGTGAGGCGTGGTGCCCAGAGAGCTGCAGAGACAACCTTGGCCTCCCTGACGTCTGTGTCTCTTGGTTTGGTTGGGGCGGACCATCGACTTACATACATGTGCCGACACTTTGCGCCCTGTTTTATAAACTGTAGTGTTAAAAATAAATGTTTTTGCTCAATTACTGGAATTTCTTTGGTTAAGACAAAAGTGAGGAATAATCATTTACAAGTTATTTGTACAACAGGCCCATTTTAAATCCCAACAGTTTCTTAGCAGACAATAGAAATGTGTTCTTTACTAACTTTACTTGGTTTGAAAATCTTACTAAAATAAACTTGAGTGCCGTATTGCAAAACCCAATCATACTTGTTATGTAAACATTAGCTTTGTAGATATTTTTTTACAGATATATATTTGTGTGCAACAAAAACCAAACTTAAATAATTTGTCATTCTTTATTGAAAAACAACAAAATACAGGTATACAGAAGTGTGGGAAAATGATAATGTGAAAGTATTGCACTATAAATGAAGTGAGATGAGATGAAGGTGAGATGAAGGTGGACGCCAGCGGGCTGGACGCCGGACGAAGAAACCTGGAGACGGATCGCTCAGACAGGAAGGGAAGAGCTTCCTCTTACCTTGATGGAATTAAAGTTAGCCGTCGTCTGAACGCCCAACCGTACGGTCTGAGGTCAAAGGTCACAGGAAACACACAACAGTCAGCAGTCATACAGATGCATAAAGATAACTAGCCATGGCAACCAGCTGACATGTCCCCACTTTCACCAAAACCTGGTGCCTGCCGGGTCACCTGAATTCCTGTGTGATGTCAGCACGGTCGGCCGTGACTGCTGCCATCAGAGGTGACCTCTGATCAGCTGAATGAACTCACCTTCCAGGGTGACGCCGTGTTAGAGTCGGCTTCATCCTGTAAACAAACAAATGAGTGGTAACATAAACACCACGTCTGGTTCTGGTGGAGGCGGAGGACAACACGCAGCTTTCCAGGAGCAGAACCCAGATGTTCTTGTTGCTACAAACAGAGACGAGCAGAGTTAAACCAGGAAGTGAGAGGGACCAGCTGCTGCAGACAGGTGACGCTCACCTGAGCCTGAACCATAGGAGCCTCCTCAGCCATCAGACCTTCTGACTCCAGTTCAGATGCCACCTTGTTGATGTCCCTCAGGCGGGACTCGTTGGCCTTCAGGTCCTGCAGGACAAAAGCACCTGCTGATCACCTTGTTGCTGTCGGGTTAACAGGTCTGGTGTTAGAACGTGGTGGATAAGAATGTTCTGACGGGCCGAGGGTTCTGAACTCACCCTGCAGGACTGGGCCTGCTCCTTCAGGGCCTGGATGCTGCTGCCGTAAGCCGACAGGTCCGACATCAGGGCCTCGTGCTTCTTCAGGAGAGCCTGTGGAGCAGAACATCAGAACCTTCAGCTCGTCTGACACAAGTGGAGCTTTCTCGCAGCGATGGTCCAATCGGATCCGCCACCGTAAAACAAACCCTGCTCAGTTCACCGCAGACGTAGCTCTGCGGGTGTTTAGTGGAAAAGCGTGAGCCTTCTGCCGGCTGCCACGTGTCATGGCTGCTCTGCAGCGGGAACACACATCACAGCTTGTAAACCGTTTGAAATAAGAGTGACGGGAACACGTTTGTCATCACTTCCTGTGCGAGGCCAGCACTTCTACCCCTAACCCATGAGACGCTCAAACGAGCAACGACGTCTGGTAGACAACCGAAGGAAATGACAAATACAGAAACACTAATTATGAAGGACTGGAAAGAGAGCAAAGAAAAGCGATTGGAGTTTCTCAGGAAGGGACTTCCATACCTCGGCCAAGTCCTCGTCTTTCCCTTAGTCTGGACTTCCAACGATGGGCTCCTTCTCCCTCATCCAGGACTCGGCCTCATTAGCATCCGCAAAGTACTGCTGGGCCTGCAGAGAGTCCTCCAGGTCCTGCCTCCTCTGGGACGCCTTGGCCTTCAGCGTGTCCCAACGTCCATGAAGCTCCCACAGTTTAGTCTTCACTTCCTCACCAGCGAAGTGACCTGGACCCAAAAAAAGTGAGCCAGAACCTGCAGACACCTCAGAAACATGTCAGGACCAGACCTGCTCTACCTTCTTCCACCATGGTCTCTCCTTTCTGGGTGACAGCCTTGATGCGAGGTTCATGACCTGTGATCTCAGCCTGCAGAGCCTGGTGCTTCTTCATCAGGTTCTGGACACCAATCAGGTCCTTCCCTTAGGACACATGTTAGAGTTCAGCATTATGCAGTAGACAGACCAGTTTAACCCAGGGGTTTCTTTCTTCTACAATCTGCTCTTTAACTGTATTATTTCCTGCTATTTCAGCTGTTAACTTTATTTTCTCTCTAAGTGTTTTTCTCCCCAGAAGAAGCTACAACGATGTTCTGTTGAGCTGTGGTGGCCTCATGGAGGGGGCCATCGGCTAGCACACTGCTGCTAACCACTTAAACATTCTCCCTCTCCTGATAATAACATTTTACTTTCTTTGATGTTGGATGTGCTAATACTAGTTTACCCGTTTAATTATAGATTCACTAGGATAAATACAATAAAGTTTATCTCTTGCCAAATAGAATATTTACTGTGGCGAGCCCGTGAAGAGGTGTAGGAGAATGCAACAAATTTGTCTGTTAAAAAGTCTGTTATGTACAAAAACACAATATCATCACACTATTTTGGACCGATACATGACGGTCAGGTCCAGCTTGGGGAGAAAATATGACACGTCTTTCAGGATGGACTTCATCTTTGGTAGCTGGCGAAGCCGGGAAAAGCAGGATCTAACCACCTGGCTAATGTGGGAGTCCATCCGCATCTCTGGGTCCAAAACCACCCCCCGGTTAGTGATGGTTGGCTTCACTAAGCTGCAAAAACAGGGTTGCAGGACAGGACTAACTGCAGTGGGAGAGGGAGGAACAAATATTCCAGTTATAAATATTAAATATTTGAACAAATAAATATTTGTTAAAAGGAAGAAACTGATGATGACTTTAAGATTAGAGGAATGTTCTAGAACGGGTCTGGAACCAACGATGGCCCTTTGGATCAAATTTGGATTTAAAAAATAGCTCATGATTTTATTTATGGATGGAATAAAAATACAGGTTGTAAGCATCTTCTCAGTATCTTCATGTTGCACGACTTTCCACAGCAGAAGGACACAAAAACTGCCAGAATTATGATTAGAAAGATTTACGTTTTAATCTCAGAATCCCAACTTTTCCCAGAATCTTCACATTATTCTATGAATTCAGAGAAAATATACATTTTTCAGAGGTCTCGCTCCCCTGTTGTGGATATTTCTCAAAATTCAACCATTTTTTCTTTTCAAAAGCTTTAGTAAGAGTTTGGACTCTAAACAAGTTTTACTTTGCAGACTGCTTGTCTAAACCTTCATCAGATCTGCTCATAATAAAACATTTGGGTTATATTTAATGCCCAGGAAGATGCTCTTCCTGGGCATTAAGTTATCAAAAACAGATAAAAGTATTTTTTACCATAATTTTAACTGCTATCAGCTGATAAAAATAATAAAAAACAGCCTGATCATTAAAGGGGTGTAAGTGAAACCGCGCGGATCACACAAACCATCATGCTGTCTATATGACTTTGAAAATATATAGTTTAATTACAGTTTGATTTATTTGACATCTGTATAATGTTTATTATTTTGTTTTTTCCCCCTAAATGCCTAACGTTTCAGTTTAACATGAATATTAGTCATTCATCACAATACATAAAGTTACACATTTTAAATTTTAATAGGGGAAGACTGCAGGAGGGAGCGGTAAAATACAGAAATCCCCAGCAAAAACAAGAAACTTTACGAGTCTGATGAAACCCGCTGGAGTTCCTTCAGCAGGCCTGGTGGCAGCTACAACGGCCCAGTGGCTGTGCTTGGTCAATGTTATCGAGCTCAGTCCGGCTCGGCCGTGAACGAGCCGAGGCGACATCCTGCTCTGCTTAAGAAGAGGTGTTATTTTCCGCTTCAGAAGAAGCGTCCGTGTTTTACGCTTTCTCAGAGACATGTCACGTTGCTAAGTTGTTAGCGCCGCGCGCTAACACGTCAATAGTGCAGCATAGCCTGCTGGAGGGTTCAGATGAAAACACCCTACCACTCAGGCTGCTTACACATCGATATTAAGTTGTCGCTGTTGCGCTCACGCCGTAATACAGTATTAGATGCGGTTAAAGTCAGACATGAAAAACTCCACGAGCGGTCAGACCGCGCAGCAGCTAGGCGCAGCAAGTAGGCGCCGGATCGGTCAGGCTGCCCGGCCTGAACGCTGGGGATTACCGGATGGAAGAATGGACACAGAAGTCTCCCTCTTAGCGCTCCGTCATATTTCAACCCATTTTTATCTTAAATGCACTGGGTTTTACCCTATTACCCATCTAAATATGCCCTATTAATTATTTTACCGTATTTTACATTTAAATTTCATGGTTAAACAGTACATGCTACATGTTAAACTGATAGTTAGCTAGCTACTTCGGTAAACTCAGCTAGTTTAAAGGTAGCAGTGACATAAAATACGAATATAGATTTTAACTTACCGAAAAAAATGAAGTGGAGACTCCTTGGACGCTCTATTAGTGCAATTAATACCACTGCAAGTCATTTTGTCCAACAATTGCACCAATAATATCCAAAGAAGAATACACAAACACAGAGACTCAAAATGCCGGAGCAGTTTCCAAGCCAGACCGAGGCTGTACTGAGGCCTTTCCACGGAGCTAGCTCTGTGGTCACGTGGGTCTGAGGCGGCGGTCACGTGTGTCGGATGCTCATTAATTATACAGAATTTTAGGCTTTCAATACACTTAAACAGAAGAGTGAGAAAAAAATTCACCCCCCTCAAAGTTGTCATGAGTATAAACTAGATAATTTAGACAAAAAACATGTTTTGGCACCAGGCTGTAAACATGTTTATTTCTGCTGTGAAATCGGCATTTTTAACATGGGAGTCAATGAGGATTTGCTCGCTTCTGGCACCAGCCCCCAGCGGATGAGGGTGGAACTGCAATTTTTCTTACTTCCGGGATGGGACCATTTTCTGAGCGGCATTGTGGGGGCTTGATATATATATATATATCAGATGTGAAGCTAAACAGACAGGGTTAAAAAAAATTCCCCATCACTTTCATTTTTTAAATAGTAATTAATAAACATTCGATGCCATTACAATTTCCTTTGATTTCATTTTGAATAAATATTTAGAGTGCCCAGGTAGCACATAAACAATGCAATTTAACGGTTTTCTTAAAGTAGGAACGTTTAACCTGTGCGGCCAGAGCGCTCTCCTTCCTTCTGCTCTGCGTAAACCTGAGCTGATCACCTACTTGTGCGTAATCAAATGTCAATAGGGGACAAGATATAGCCATGATGTTCACTTTTACCTCAGACTGACTTATTGCTGTTTTATGGTGTGGCTGAATCTGTGATCCGCTGTCATGCGGACCGGAATAACAAATGCTGCAGTAACGTGAGTTGTGGTCAGGTTCGGAGTCACTGGCTGGAGCGGACCCGACTCATCCCGGAAGCTAATATCTTAATTTGACCTTGAATGAAAAATAACCTCTTAAAAGTTGTTATCACGGTGGAGGCAGCGTTCATTTCTGCCTTCAGTCTGACGGCGCGCCGGAGTTAAAGCAGCGTGTGCGCTAATTGAATCTGTGTGTGTGTGTGCGCGCGCGCGGTACAGCCGCTCAAGTCACCGCGTCTCGCGCTATTCAAACCAATGTAGTAAAATTACTTCTGCCCAGCCCAGATGTGCTCACATGTGCACCCGTGAGCCGTGGTTCCGCTGGAACACTTCTGACCTCTGACAGACGCACTCTGAACTTCTGATCTTCAGCGCGCTGTCAATAGCCTGAATAGGAATCATTTCTTGTTATTTTGTTACATCCACAATGTTCTGTGTGTGTGAGGTTTACAATGTCAGAACACCTGCATGAGACAGGTGTTAATTACAATCTGCCAGAATGACTCGCCACCTTCAGATTTCTCCAACACCATTAAAAATGATCATATACGGAACATATCGGCGTGCGCAGGCCAGAGTGCTGAAGCTCGGCCCATTGTTATTATGAAGCTATGGCACATGTGGAGGACACGCGCGCGCGCACAAAAATATACTTGTTTTCAATTACATTTATTGTGCCCACTTACTTTTTCTTAGGCCCACCCACAAATGAGTTTCTACGCTAATGGTGACATATGACAGACTTCTCTGAGCTCCGCAGCCATTGCACTTTTCACCTCGCGCACCCCCTAGCGGCAGCTCGCGCACCCCCAGGGGTGCGCGCACCACACTTTGGGAATCCCTGATCTAGAGCATCAGCTTGATGGGTTTCTACACTCAGTCAACCATTGATTAACCATGGACCACGGACAGCTTTTTCCCGCAACCGAGCTGGGTGCTAGCCACTCCATCACCACCGAGATACAACGGCAGTTCGCGGCCCATGTCACCGCCACCACCATCATGCTTTCCGGGGGATAACTTCCCACGGCTCCCCACAATCATGGAGGTTCCGGAGACCATCTCTGCTAACGCATCATTCCGACCCTGGATCGACGAGACTCCGGCGAGTCCTGATCAAGCCCCCACAATGCGGCTCAAAAATTGAGGCCAACCCGGAAATACCAAAAATTGCAGTTCCACCCTCATCTGCTGGCGGCTGGTGTCACAAGTGAACAAATCCTCATTGACTCCCATGTTAAAAATACCATAAAATGTCAGATTCCATAGAAATATGAAATATCAATCTGATGGATCTTTGACTATTTTAACCAGAAGATCAGAACTTTTTATTGCAGGGATTAAGTGAAACTTCGTATTAACTCCAAGGAAAGAGAGAGAGTCAGGTTTAAAATAGTTAAGAAATTTATTTCTACACAATTTAAACAAGACTAACTTAAACACTCTGTGTACTGACTGACCTAAGGTGGAGTGAGACGTGATGAATGATGATGGTGTGTGTGTGGAATGTTATTCAGAACCAGCAGATCCAGAGAAGCATTTAGTTCTGAGTGGGAGTGAATGTTTCGCTCTAAACTTTAGTAGGAGATTTATAACACACATGAAACGCCATCTGTCGGTCTACGTACCCAGGGGAAGCCTCCGATTAGATCCAGAATGCCGAGGTCCTCGTGGACCCTCTTTGGTACCGAAGCCGGTAGAACAGCAGCGGTGCCGACCAAACTAGTCTTGGAATGCTTCCAGGTCACGACAGGCTATCACTGGCGTCTCCAAGACCCTGAAGGGGTCGTGAGGTTCAGCTTTTATTCTGAAGGAACCGTTGCGGTCAGTTGTAACTTGCAACCGATTTTATCCAGCTTGTCTGAGGTTCTTTATGGCTGAAGAGGAAGTCTGGATGGCCTGTCTGAGACTTCTCTAGAACAATTTGAACTCAAGAAAAGGTGGCGTGGGATAGTTTTTATAATTGTCATATTTTGGTTAACTGGCGAATCAGAATTTGACATGCGAAAGAGGGTTTATACAAACACCACAGATAACCACGCCCAGCCCCAGAAACGAAGGTTCTGATTGGGTCAGACAAAAGGAAATGTGTCGTGTGGCTTTAGCATTACGTGTCATTAGTGTATATAGCAAATGTTGTTGATTATGTATTTATCAAAATAGAGTTCTCTGTCTTCGTCTTGACAGAGGTGAAACAGTTCAGATGAGCAGAGTGCATTAAAGACCTTGGCCACTATCTCATGTAGATTAGCCTGTCAGAGACTTGTCGCGTGCGTGTCCTATTTGTCGGTTCCTTTGAAACCTGGTTCCGTTAGAACCTAAGACTGCGCTGCTTTCTCAGGGTTCGTGGGGCGTCGGTGAGTTTTATTGTATTAGACCCTGGTTTGGACCCCCTAATTAGATTCAGTTTCCTATTTTAAGGTGAGAATGATATGCCGTACTTTTTCTTTTGTGATAGCACACTTTCTTTTTAGTTTTCTCCCGTTATTTAGTGGTTCTAAATACTAGGGCAAAGTTCAGAAGCAGGCCATTCTTCTGACAATTCTTTGGGTCATATTAGCATTAATTTGCGCCTCTGTCAGCTTTTGTGGGCAGTGGTAACTAGAAAATGATTCTTGTTAGTTGATCAGGCTAACATAGATTTATCAATTAATCTAATTAATCCAACCTTCCCACGCTGGCAAAGACTTTTTCACACTTGCAAATCAGAGCCTATTTTCACCTACTAATGTTTTGGCTTATCAATCCTTAGGATATCTCATTACTCACGGGAGAGGAGAAGACTAGCTTTCTTCACCTAAGGTTTCTTTTTCTTAATCTGTCACAAACTGTAAAGCAAGTCCTGATAATTCGGGAACCTGTAATTACAATATGCTTACCTCTCCTATTGTTTCGGGATCGGGGCTCCCACTCGAACCTTTAAAGAGGACCTTTAAGAATCAGGAATGTGAATGATTTTTCAAAAAGTTTATTAAAAGATTAAAAAATACAAAAAATGGGTAGATATAAGACTGATCACTTCCCCCAAGGAGAAATGCTAATCCTAATAATTAACTAAGAATAATGAGTTGACTTGCACCAACTCTAAGTCTTCTTCAGCTTCAGGCTAACACCCTCTAACTCTCTCTCTCAAAAATTGCAAAACACAAAAAATGAGTAAATATAAAACTAACCCATTCCCTGTGGAGGATGCTAATGCTAAAATCTTCCTGAGAATAAATGGTTGACTTGCGTCAACACTAACCTGTCACTCTCTAACTCTAGGTGCGACTCTCTCCTTCTCTCCCCAAAAACTGACCTGTCGTCCTCCGTCCAGAGGACGACCTCTTCTATCCCAGCTCTGCTCTGTCTCTCACTGTCGACTGCCCCAACTGTTGTGTCAGCTCTGCATCTAGCTGCCCTTTTTATACTCTTTGTGGGAACAGCCTAGACAAGGTAAAAGCTTTCCAGTTACACATACATCATTATCTCATGACAGCAAGATCATGGGGTCATTTATCAGTTTCATACTTTTTAGCTCAACTAGTTTCATTAGTGTCCATTAGTGTCATTTTTTGCAACTGATCTTCAGCTTCTCCCGAAGTCCAGGATTCTTCATGAAGGCCTGTCGTCTCCTGATAAGCTCTTTTCAGTCTGCCTCCTTCGGTTCCACATCTCCTGCTGATGGCTGGGTCAGACGCTTCTTGACCTTCTGCCCAATTTTACTCCCAGAAGCAAGTTCTGATCCCTTATCTCTGTGACCCTTCTGTGGACCTCACTTCTCACCACAGTTTCTGACCCGCAGGAACTTGCAACAGACTTTATGTCTCTGCTCGAGCAGACACAGCAGATCATGACATTTAGGTCATAAACAGGACAATCATGACGCAACACTGTAAAAAGCGGTAAATACCGCATTTAGCATGCACATTTTCCAGCACAAAAAAGAGCTCCGATCCTCTCTCCCAGACCGAGGCCTTTGAAATCCACTGCCCATCCGCATCCTCCAGCCCCTCCCATGAAGCGCTGAAAGCTATCATGGTGTTCTGGATTTCATCCAGCGATGGAAGAGCCTGTTGTGTTTTACAGCCGGACGAGGTCTCTCACGATCACCTTTGTACACACTGCGTGGAACTGCAAGGTTGAGCACTGCCCAGTCATTGTAGGAGAGAACCGCTGAATGTGATAAATATGGCTTGAGAGGTTTGTCCTCAGCCACATCATGGATTAGACACAGCTCCTTAGTGTCATAGCTGAACCGGTACCCAAAACTACCAGTATAGCCGTAAGGTTCCGGCGGCCATATTTGCTCCAAGGTCTCTTTACTGCCAAAAGGAGGAAGCTGAACTCTACACATGTAGAATGTAGATTTGCGGGG